CTGGTCCTGGGGCCCCGCTGCCCAGGGCCTCTCTGATGCTGACGGTGCTGGCCAGGCCTTGGGAAGCGCCCTGTCCCCGCGACCCCCCAGGCCACCTCTCCTCTAGCTGCCCATCCGGGGCCTTCCCCTCCTGAGCCTAAAACCGTAGCAGCAACCAGTGTCCCTCCCACAGGGCCCTTCCTCGGCAACTTCCAGAAAGGCCTGCTGCCCCCCTGGCTACCCCCTGCCCCCCGGGCTCAGGTCCCCAGCGGCCCCACCGCTCACCACTGTGTGAGTCCTGGTGCTGCCGCAGAACCAAGACCCACAGCGGGGCGTCCAAAAGTCCAGAAATACACTCCAGCGGTCAGGACGGTGGTGTGGGCAGGCCGGGTCCTCGCGGGCTCTCGGGGAGGAGCTGGCCTGCTGCTCGGGCCTCGCCCGCCACGGCCCACGGTGGTCTCACCTCGAGACGCTTGCCTCACGTGCAGAGACCGCTGGGCACGTCTTCCGTGGGCGCCACCCGTCAGCCCACCGCAGCATCCCACAGGCTCTTTCTGGGAAGGAGGCGTTGGGGTGGCTGTTTACCCGTTTAACTAGATAACGGACGCACACCCGCGGGGGCTGCAGCGTCCCCTCCCCTCTGGGCCCCTCGCCCATGCGTCCTCCCAGAGACGCTCCGGCTTCTGCGTGTGGTGCTCTTGCTGTGTTCATCATTGTCCTGACGTGCAGCGAGCCCCTCGTGTCCAAGCGCGCAGTTCGACGAGTTTGCATACGTATGCAGCCGGGAAACGCTCGCCACACCCCAGACCGTGAACCTCCCTTCCACCCCAGAGTCTCCTCCGCCCTTGTCTCCCTCCCTCTGTTCAGTTGCTCTTTATTCTTGCGGTGACAGTGTGGCCGGATCAGACCCCGGACGGTTGCCTCGTCTCCTCTCTGCCGTTCTCTCTCTCAGTCAAAAACATCCTGCTCAAGATACCTGCGTGCCCGGTTGCAAGGGATGTGCTGTAAAAATACGTTCCTAGAACCAGAAGCCCTGAGCCAAGGGGCTGCACCCCGTTAGACTCTGATGTTCGCTCCACACCAGGCGGGGCGTCGTACCCACTGTCCCACGCGCGGCCTGGCTCTCCCCACCAACCTCCCCTATGGAGGGCGTCGGGAGGGGCCCTCACCTTGCCGGTTCCCCACTCCCCATGCCGATGCTGGGTGGGGGGCTGCTGGGCTCCACTCTGCTCCCTCTCCTCTCTGCCCACCCCTCCAGTCAAGGCCAGCTCCCCGATTTTCTCAGCCTGAAGATCAACTTTCAAGCTCAAGACTCTAAGCGTCAGGGCCCTGCCCACACCTACGGTGACCCGACTTTTCTGGGCCAGCTGGAACTCTTTAAAGGGGGAAAATAACCTAAAGGGTGGGAGCGGTGTACTGGGTGGAATGGCCTCCCCACCCAACAATTCATGTCTCCCTAGAACATCAGAATGGGCCCTTATTTGGAAATAGAGTCTTTGCAGACTTAATTAAGTTTAGATTACGATTAAGGTGGCCCTAAATCCAGTGACGGGTGTCCTTATAAGAGACAGAAGAGTAGAGGACACAGACACAGAGAAATTCAGGTGACTCTGGAAGCCGAGATGGAGGGTGTGGCCCCAAGCAAGGAACGTGGGGCCACCAGGAGCTGGACGAGGCGGGAAGGACCCTCCCCGAGCGCCCTCCGAAGGAGTGTGGCCCTGCACACCTCGGGTTCAGCCTTGTGGCCTCCAGAACTGGGACAGAATATGTTTCGGATGGTTAAATTTTTGGAGCTTTGCTATGGCAGCCTCAGTCTCATATAAGCAATGTTCAGGAAAATTTCCCAATACTCAGGAATAAGGCAAATGGGTGACGCCGTGTCCCTTCATTGTATCCTCAAAGCCACGGTCCAGCCAGTCTGCCTGAGCATCATTCGACCCTCCCAGGAGCGTCGCTGTATTTGACCTACCGTTTATTATTGACCAGGCCCAGGTGCCCTCAAGCTAGACGTTCACAGGTAGGAAACAGAAAAGCTGCAAGTGATTGATTTTCCTGTAAAAGTGCAAATCACTTCTGTCTGGCAGAAAGGATAATCCCGAAGGTTATGGTTTATTGCCCCATGAGCTATTAACCTGTTGTAGGTCCAGCTTAGCAATCCGACTCCAGCATCCTTTCTTTTCCTCTGACCAGATGTGGATATATCGGGGTTGGGGCGCCCTTCTCAGAACCAGCTTTGCCATCCGGCCAAACCCCTTCATCCATGCATTAAATGAAACTAACACATGTGCAGTTTATATTTCTCTGAGAACTGTGTTTTCATCCTTTTGAAAAATATACTTTTGCAGCAGACTGTATTAAAGGGGAGAGATCTGCTATATCTAGTTTCAGGCAAGGTTCGATCCAGGGGCTGTCTTAAAGGGGGAGTGTCTCAGCCTGAGGTTGAGCACCCCCAGCTGATGCCAGGCAGGCCGTCTCCACCAAGGCCGGCCCACACTGCAAGTTCTTGGCAAAGCAGATGGTCTCTGCTTTACACCTCTGAGCTGCGGATGTTTGTTACACGGTGCCGGGTAGCTTGGACACTGGCTGCGTCACCTTGGATGAGACCTGACCTCTTTGTGTTTCTCTACGTGTGAGGTGAGGGATAAGAACACCTGCTTAACCGGGTTCATCCTTGAGATACTACTAACTGAAGGTCCACTGTATGCCTGGCACTGTTCCAGGGGCCCCACGCCAAACAGCCTAGCGCGGAAGAGGGGTTCCAGAAGCATCAGTTTCTTCCCCCACTTCTTTATCGCTGCGCCGCAGATGAAAATCCCTTCCCTCTCTCCCAGCCAAACGTTTCACATAAAGCAATAATCATCTGCCAGGTACAGACATGTCAATTAAAAGCTGGTTGTCACCTTGGGGTCTCCAGGCCTCCAATGCTTCATTGGTCCCTCAGGGCTGCTGGATGGAGAGGCTGCAGGCAACCTTGGGGGGCAGGGCTGTCCTCTTTACCGCTGAGTGGTGTGATCTAGTCAAGTGGAAAAGTGCTATTTGCTGGGCAATAAAAGCGTCTTTTGTTCACTGCCCTGGAAACATATTAATGAATAACCTAGTGCGTGGCCCCTGGTTCTAGCCGCATGAAACGGTCGTTTATGTGACAAGATCAAGGTGCAATTTTCCTTTTGTAGCTTTTAGTGGGCCCAGAACACCAGGTTGATCAAGGCCTCAACGGCTGCAGTGGGCTTTCCCTCTGGACCCCCAACAGGCCCCAGCGGCATTCAGGGCCAGCTCTGCCAGCACTGGACACACTGCTAAGATGCAACCCCAGGCACAGAGATCCAGTGGTGCACACTGAGGAGGGGCGGGTGTGCTGGGGAGCCAGCGAGTGAGGAGCTGGATGCCTTCCAGAGGCCTTGAGGAAGGGGCAGGCCCTGAGGTGGGGGCTGTGAGGGCTCGTTGGCCAGGCACTTCTCTGCAAGGCCCCTGAGTTGCCTGAACTGCTCCTAGTCCTGACATTAAAAGGAGGCATGGTGCTGGATCACGTCAGGGACCGGGGGGAGGGGGTAGCTGGTGAGCCCTGTTGCTGAGGCCCCAATCTGCTTATCTCTAGGGCCTGGCACATGGTTGGCACGCGGGTGGGATGGATGCACGGATGCAGGTTGGAGCTCCTGGCAGAATCACAGAGCGCAGGTGCTCTGGGAGGGCAGTGATGCACTTCCTCCCTCCAGATGAAATCCAGAGGCCCAGTCTGGGGACGAAGGGTGGTTGCCCCGGGTACAGGGCTGGGAGGAGGCTCTGCGTGGGAGAGCTGGGGTCTCCACCGAGCCCTTTCACTGTTGTTCTCGCTGCTATAAGAACAATAGTAATAATAAGTGACCACCAGAGCCGTAACTGTTCTCGAGGCACTTCTAGTTCGTTCCAGGTTGAGCTGCATCCCCCGCGCCCTGTGAATTCATAGGTTGGAGACCTACCCCCCCAAACCTTAGCAGGGGACCTTTTGTGGAAATAGGATCACGGCAGATGTAATTAGGATGAAGTCGTTAGGGTGCACCCACCCCCTGTGGCTGGCGTCCTTGTACGCAGAGGACATCTGGACACAGACACGCGGGGGGGGACCCCACGGGAGGGTGAGGGCGGAGACGGGGTGTGCGCAGGAGCCGAGGAGCCCCAAGACTGCCGGCGACCACCGCGGCTCGCGCGGCCTGCGGCGGGGTCTCCCCAGAGCCTCCAGGAGGAGCCAGCCCCGCCAGACGTCCGTCTCAGACGTCTGGCCTCCAGGGCCAAGAGCAAGCACACTTTTGTTGCTGGAGCTGCCCGGGGTGTGACACTACGTTGTGGCCGCCCTCACTCCTTCCTCCCCCGCAGGTCAGCCCCGCAGACACCGGGGGTGCAGAGGCGCCGCACAGCCTGCGGGACCCTGCGAGTGCACCTGCTCCTGGGCTTCCTGTGGACGGAAGCTGTGTCTTTGGGCAAACTGCTGAGCCTCTCTGGACTTCCGTTTCCTCCTCATAAGGAGATGACAGCTGGCCTCTGCCACTGGGTCGCTGTGAGGGTCAGACTGGAGGGGACTGGCCAGGACTGGGCAGAGCAGCCAGGCTCGGGGCCTTTCGGAGCCCAGCTGGGGCCGGGCCGGGCCGGGGGCGGGGCCTGTGGCGCGGGGGCGGAGCTGACTGGTCCCAGCGGCGGGGCGGGGCCCGGTCAGTAAGGGGTGGGGCCTTCCGGGCGGGGGCGGGGTCCGGCGGCGCGGGGGCGGGACCTGTGGCGCGGGGGCGGAGCCTCTGCGGCCAGGGGACGGGTCCCAGCGGCGGGGCGGGGCCCGGTCAGTAAAGGGTGGGGCCTTCCGGGCGGGGGCGGGGCCTGTGGCACGGGGGCGGAGCCTCTGCGGCCAGGGGACGGGTCCCAGCGGCGGGGCGGGGCCCGGTCAGTAAGGGGTGGGGCCTTCCGGGCGGGGGCGGGGTCCGGCGGCGCGGGGGCGGGACCTGTGGCGCGGGGCGGGGCCCGGGCGGCAGAGGCGGGGCCTGGCGCCCGCGGCCGCCCGCCGCTCGACGCGCTCCGCGCTCTCCCCGCCGCCCTGCGTACGGCGCGCGTCGAGTGCGGGGCTCGCCAACATGTCGACCGCCATGAATTTCGGGTCCAAGAGCTTCCAGCCGCGGCCCCCGGACAAGGGCAGCTTCCCGCTGGATCACTTCGGTGAGCGGCGGGCAGTCGCCGGGCTCCGCGCCGGGCCTCGGGTCCTGAGCGTCCGGTGGCGCCGCACGGCCCCGCGGTGCGGGAGGGGAAACCGAGGCCCGGCGCGGCCCCGCGCGGAGCGGCTGGCGGGGGCGGGGCGTGGGGCGCACCCGCCGCGTCCGGGCCTGCGGGCTGGGAGCCAGGGACGCGGGCGCGGCCGGAGCGCCGGAGGCCGGGGCTCCGAGAGTGGGCTCGGCGAGCGCTGTGTGCAGGGGCGGGCCAGCCGCGCGTGGCCCCCCGGTGGCCAGGTGCTCGCCTCCCGGCGAGGCGTCCGGCGCGCGGGGAGGCGGCGAGTTTGGAAGGGGAAGCGGCCCGCGCGGTTTCCCTCTCGTTCTAGGTGAATGTCAAAGCTTCAAGGAGGAGTTCATGAGGTGTCTCCGCGACAGGAAGTTTGAAAACGCGCTGTGCAGACGGGAATCAAAGGCCTACTTGGAGTGCAGAATGCAGAGGCAAGTAGCCGCCACCGTCTGTGCCTTCTCGAACCGCCCTCGGCCCCCAGGAGCGCTTCCTTCCCCGAGGGCTCGCTGCAGCGGGGCTCCCGGGACTCTGCCCTTCGCGGCTGCGTAACTGCTCCCCGAGAACTGAGGCCCGCGCGGCTAAATGGCACCAGGAGTCGTGTAGCAGTGGCAGCGACCGTTCCGGGAGCGGCAGCCTCGTACACGGCAGAGCGTTTTCCTTCCAACGTGGGGGTTGTCGTTGAGGTTTCGGAACCGTGCGTCATGAAAATGCTGACTGAGCCAAAGGATTTGAAGGTTGTGGGTGCACGGTTTCTTTCTTTCACGTTCTCAGACCGTGAAAATGTTCGGTTTCACGTAGACTCAGCTGTGCCTCAAAAGTGACGGGGAGACAATAGGCTAGTTTAGAAATGATCCAACACAGGATTTGTGGGCGCCTGGGTGGCTCAGCCGGTTGGGCGGCTGCCTTCGGCTCGGGTGGTGACCCTGGAGTCCCGGGATCGGGATCGAGTCCCGCATTGGGCTCCCTGCTCGGCGGGGGGTCTGCTTCTCCCTCTGACCCTCCCCCTTCTCATGCTCTCTCTCTCTTAAATAAATAAAATCATGGGGCGCCTGGGTGGCTCAGTTGGTTAAGCGACTGCCTCCGGCTCGGGTCATGATCCTGGAGTCCCGGGATCGAGTCCGCGTCGGGCTCCCTGCTCGGCAGGGGGTCTGCTTCCCCCTCTGCCCTCTTCCCTCTCGTGCTCTCTCTCATTCTCTCTCTCTCAAATAAATAAAATCTTTAAAAAAAAAAAGGACAGGGTGCCTGGGTGGCTCAGTCGGTTGAGCGACTACCTTCGGCTCGGGTCATGATCCTGGAGTCCCGGGATCCAGTCTCGCATCGGGCTCCCTGCTCGGCAGGGAGTCTGCTTCTCCCTCTGACCCTCATGATCTATCTCATTCTCTCTCTCAAACAAATAAATAAAATCTTAAAAAAAAAAAAAAAAAGACAAAGGATTTGTTCTGTCTTGACCAGAATCTACCAGAGCTCACTTTTAAATAAAGCAAATGTGCGTAACTATGATCCGTTGAGATTTTGCTTAAGAACTGTTTTAGTCCTTAATGGGGAAAGGCAGGTACTTATGTAGTGGGGATGGGAACTTTTATTGATGCTTTTTGAGCCCTTCATTAGCTCATTAAGGAATCCAGTCTTCAGATGGTTTTGTCTGAAGGTGCGTTGACATAAACCAATCCAGTTGGAGCCCGTTTCCATTCTCCCATAACAAACTCAGACATTTCCCTCAGGGCAAAATCTCTTGGGTTTCTCAGGCCCACAGGTGTGTTGAGGGCTATTTGTGGACACGTGGGACCTTGGGGATGGGCCCTTTGGGGAGTGGGGCCGTCAGGTGAGGCCCTCACTCTGTCTCCGGAGTTGTTCAGGCTCACCCGCCCCTCTGAAGCTTGGATTAATCACATTGTGCAGGCCAGAGTCCCCAGCACACACAGGTAGCTGCTCCTGCTGGGAGTTGTTCCGGAGTTGGGCTGCTTGTGTCCCCAGAGAGGCTCCTGGCCTGCCTGGTGAAGGGCCAGCAGAAGGGCCCTGTCTTTTCTCCCCATTTGACCCTGGGAGTGAGCTGCCTGCTCTCCGTGTGGCCATGCCTTGCTCAGCACAGCTTCTGGAGACCAGCCTCCCCTGAGGCCTGCTGAGGTCGATGGGGACCAACGGATGCAGCTGGCCACTCTGTGGGTTCTGTTACTTCAAGTGGCTTCGCTGGCTGGTCAGGCGATGTTAAGATAAATTTAAAGGGTACGTTGTGTTTCTGACTTGGTCAGTGATTTTGGCCATAGGCTTTTGGATGGTTTTTAATGAAAATCCACGACCACCCGGATTCAGTATCTAGGTTTTGCACATTTGCTCCTCCTGCTTTTTACAAACCTCTTTTCTTCCCTTTCCCTTTTGTGCTGAAATCCCAGACATGACTTACTGGTTCGTGCCTCTGTATGCGTCTTTGTAAAAAACTGGATCACAACAAGTTTTTAAAGTTGCCTCTTGAGGCCGTGGGCCGTTATAGCCAGATGGGGAAGTACGTGCGCTGTCGTAGCTGTGGGCCACATTTTCTCACGGGAAAAGCTGTTAAGTTTGGGATTGCTTTGTTGGCAGAGAAAACAAGTACACCTACGATCCGCGATCTCAAGGCTCTGTAATCATTTCACTTGGGTCCCCGTGCCATGGGGCGGTCATCAGGCCATGCAGCCGCGTCCCGGAGCGCGGGTTGGTGTGAAGGCCAGGCCTCCCGGAAATCCGGTTGCCCTAAATCATGCACTCAATGCTGGCTCAGTCCCTAAAGTACTGGACTGGAAACGGGATGGTCTCTTCCCTTATGCTAAAGGGAGGCATTGAAATCATCCTTTTGGCTTTAGAACTTGTTAAACGTTGTATTTGTTGTTTTTAGGATCTTGCCAAGGAGCTGGATTTTACGAAGATTAACAGATCTGTAGAAAGGATATCTTGAACCATGTCTTATTTGGCTTCTAGTTTTTTCCTCCTTATTCCTTCTTCGTGCCGCTAAACACGCAGGCCCGTCCTGTCATGACAGCATGTCGGGAGGAGCGCCGCTGGCCCTGTGCCTGGGTTGGTGTGCCGCCAGCCCACCTGCCCTTCTGCAGCAGGAAGTCTGACATGGGTGTCATGGGGCCCAGTCAGGGCGTGGACAGGCTGCATTCCTTCTGGAGGCTCCAGGGCAGAATTGCTCCCTGCCTTCCCCAGCTTCTAGAGGCGCCCGTGCTCCTTGGCTCGTGGCCCTCTGCCCTCTCAAAGCTGGCGACGGTGTATCTCTTCAACCCTTCCTCGCTTCCCATCTGTCTCTGATTTCCAGGATTCATGTGATGAGGTTGTGTCGTCCTGGGTGACGTCACCTCAGAATCAGCAGTTAGCAACTGTGTTTCACCTGTAGCCCGAATCCCCCTCTGCCGTGGAGGGTGACACAGGCAGCAAGGAGGGTGTCATCTGGGGGTCGTTGCTCTGCTGATCACAGTGTGGTCCCAGAGGCCAGTTTCAGGAACTCGGCCAGATGGCCTCTTTTGCCAAGATGTGTTGAAAATTCATCATTGTTTTTCTCATTTGGGTTTAAGGAGTAGTGCGTGCATTCCATGCTGTAGAATTGAACCTGCTTCTAGATTAAATTGTACTGACTGAACTTTGCAATTCTGGGGACGTTTTCCTGAGGGGTAAGTGACAGCCTTTGTGAAGTTTGGATAGAGATCATCTCCCTGCGGGGCTTTGTGTTTCTGCAGAAGTGTGGCCTGCTCCCACTGGACCCCCGCGAACCTGCAGAAAGCGGGTCATCTGAGCAGGTGCCTTGGACGTCCCGCGGTGCCCAGCATGCTGGCTGAACTCCGGGCTGCCTGCACTGGCCCGCCGGGCTTGGGGCAGTCCGCGGGCTCAGCGGTGGGAGCTGGGACACAGTGTATGAAGTGATGGCGGGCCGTGTGTCGGCTGAGCCTGGCGGTTCCTGCGGGGACGCTGTCCCCCCCCCCCCAACCCCCCCGCCAGCAAGCAGGATGGACAGATGCCTCTGAGAGTTCGGGTCGACCCACCCCCGCCCCCAAAACAAAACAATGAAACCTAGGCCTCCCGATTCCCTGGAGCATGGGCAGCGGGAGGCCAGATGGGGGAGGCTCCTGAGCTCAGCATGTGCTCTGTGCGGGGCATCCCTGTCTTCGTGGCCCTGACTTACGTGGACGTGGTGGGAGGCTGGCACACGGCTGGTTATAGGGAGGCAGTGGGAGCAGGACACGGCCGCTGGCCAGCTGTGAGACCGTGCTGGGCCTGGGGCAGGACTGAGAGGACGTGGAGCCCACGCACCACGCATCTGGGTGTGTCTGATAACTCAGAGTAAAGCTAACAGATGCGGTGACCGTGAACAGCACGGGTCTGCTTACATACAGACTTCTTCGATAAATGCAGTACAGTCCTGGAAATATGTTTCTTCCTTATCATTTTCTTAATAACTCTTTTCTCTGGCTTACGTTTTGTTAGGATACACTTATGTTATAGCTGAGGTTTCCGGTCAGCAGTAGGCTGTTAGTCCTTAAGCTTTTGGGGAGCCCGGAGTTATAGACGGATCCTCGACTACGCAGGTGTTTGGTCCCCTAACCCCTGTGTTATTCAGGGTCAGTTGTACCAAATAAAGTCTGTCCTGTCCTGTCCTGTCCACACTTTGTCCAGGGCGTCTTCACAGGGACCTGGAGGCCAGGGGTCTGCTCCAGACTGGGCCCTCGGGGAGCCTCACCGTGGTCTGCCTGCTTCCTTCGGGTTCTGGCCGTGCCCTGCATTGGGGGGCGGGTGTCTCTCTTGGGTCCAGAGGTGCAGGTGTCAGCCAGAAGGAGGAGGGCGCAGAGAGGCCCTTCGGGGCCCAGAGCAGCAGAGTCCCTGCCCGCAGGCAGCCCCCGGGACACTGGTTGGGCGGGATGGGAGTGAAAGCACAGGCCCTGTGCAGATGGCGCTCTTTGTTTTCTTCCCTTCTCGTAGGCAGCTGATGGCACAGGAACCCCTGGAAAAACTGGGATTTGGAGATTTGATCGGTGGGAAACCAGAGGCAAAAACTTAACTTCTAATGGAAGGAAGACCACCAGCTTCCCCGTGTTCCGGGACGGAGCTATCGTGCAACCTTGTCAGCTGGCGGCTAGTGGTTAGGTGCTGTGACGTAGAAGCTTCTGGAACGCCCTCCTTGACAGAAACAGTTCATCCTGCTGTTTCCCAGGTTATTTTGAAAAATTATTGTGGTTTTAGATCTCATTTTCCCCCAAGAGTGTTAGGTTTTATCTTTATGTCGTGCGTGGTAGACTTTCTAGGGAGACCCGTGGCGGGCGGGAGGTAGGAGTGCGGAGTCACGCCCGCTTGGCCAGGGGACGCGCAGCCTGGGTGACACGGTGACTCCACGGCGTGATACTGTGCGTGGCTTCCCGGCTTCCCGGTCCGGCCCGCTGAGTGCTCTCAGCTTCGCCCTCCCACAGAGACACGGATACTGGGAGAAGCCGTTCCTGGCAAGATGGTTTCCTTGTTGTGCTTCTTTACACTGGTTCAATTCCTGTTTCTTTTTTTAAACAAAACACAGAGTATAAACTTGGAAAGGAGAGATCGTCTGGCTTTTGACCTATTCGACTTAGTGATGTTTTTCTGGTAATGTCTGAACACCAAGTATCTTTTAACCAAAGGCTCGTTTTCTGACAGGTGCAGACTGTGTTATAGTTTAATTATAAGGCTCTGTCTATTGTCACTGGGAAACAGGGTGTCAGGACATGTGTAGTTTGCCTCACACACGTGGTCCCCCAGCGTCTCCCTCTGAAAGAACATCCAGGCTGACACGTGTTGGCGACGGTCCCGGGGCGTCTCGTTAGCCAGAGCCGCCACCAGAGTTGCCTGCAGTCACTTAAACCTCACACGTCCTCAGGCCCTAGCCGGGATTTCTGGGCGGCCTCTGTACGCGGCCAGGGTTCAGGCCCACGCACGGACTGCCACGTGTGTGGGTCTGGGCCCGGCGCTGCCTTCCCTGGCTCCCAGCCAGCTGGCTTTGGTCCCAGTGTGGCTAATGGAAGACGGCGGACACATCCCCACCCAGACAGTGACCCTGGGGGGGACAGCCAGCCATGACCCAGGTCTGGGCTCCCAAAAGTCGCCACTGCCCACTCCTCGGCCGTGGGTGGTAGAGGCGTGTCCGTGTCCAGTTCTCTGCCTTCAGCTCCTCAGTTTTCAGTCCTTCCGTGGTGGATGCGTCTTGGCTTAGACCCTACCTGACGTGAGTCCCTCCCGCGGCTGGTGCCACGTCCGTGGTGCTGACTCTGCCCCGTTCACCACGTGGGTGGCTTAGCATCTCCTGTGCCCACTGCGGTTTGTCGCTGTTGAGTATTTGGTCTCTGTCTTACCCTGTCATGTGCTACAGACTTTTTTCACATTGTCGTCCAGTTGGTGAAGTATCTTGGTTTTTATCACCAAACCAAACTGAGCCATGAAACTAGTTTGTATCTGCTGACTGTCCAGAATTACGTATGCGCAAGGTTGTTGGTGTGGCCTTGTTTGTAGTTACAAAACACTAAGGTGACCCAGATGCCCACATGTGCGAGCTTTCTGTGACCTGCGGCTCGCGTGGCAGGGAGCGCAGAATCTGAAGTGACACGGCTGACCTCCCACCACGGGTGCTGGACGTGAGAAAGCAGACTCTGGAAGCACCTGTAGTAACAAGGAAGACGGGAAACCAGAAGTAGCTGCACGTTTGTGCAAACACGAAATTGAGGAAGGACAAAGCAGACACTGAGGAGGATGGAGGATGGTCGCCGGTGTGCCGTGTAGCTCTGCCTCTGAGCCGGATTCCTGTTCCCCGTGCTCAGAAGTGACACCGCGGTGGGGGTGGGGCATAGCGCCCCCTGCAGCTGTGGAAGGCAGGAGTCGGACCAGGCTGGGGACGAGAAGACACGGTCTGTTCTCTGGCCAGCTCTGGAAGCGAGTGTTCTAGGACCGGAGAACTGGGGAGCGCAGAGAAGAGCCGGGATCTTGGGAGTCCCTGTTGCGTCACAGGTAGGGTGGCTGGACAGAGAGACGGACTTAGGTGTTGTGCGTGCACCCATGTGGGCACCTGCCGGCTCTGGCAGCCAGGGGCCTCGAGCAGCGACACCTGCAGCAGGTGCACACCCACGCCCCATCTCGGGCCGCGGCCGGGGTGCTGCTCCCGACGGCTGGAACCAGGCTCCTGAAGGGCTGGCTGGCGCCCGGGCCAGAGTGGGAAATCAACCTGAGCCCGGACCATTTTGTGTCAGAAAGTAAGGAATTGCCGGAAATACGCTAGGGGCTTGTTGGAAGCCACGTCTGGGCCAGTTTGAGCCACAGAATATTGTACCGGGTTAGTCTTCAGAATCAGTGACTCTGCACGAGTCCACGCCGACAGTATCACTACTGGGATCCCTGTCGGTGGGGGAGAGACCGCTCCTGGCGGTGGTCTGTCCCCCACAGAACTAGCGGGGGGGGGGGGCAGTCCCACACAGCCACAGGGGCTGTCGAGAACCGGCCGGGGGCCTGGAGTCGGGCCGAGTGTGCCTGGTCTGGGGCCTCCCTCGGTGCAGCAGAGACGTCTGTGTGGTCATGCTGGGCGACCTGCCCACGGCTCATGTCCCCCTCTGACACTCTCCTGGGGTGTTCTTACCTCACTGCAGTGAGCAGACTGCAGACAACACACGGTCTGCAGAGTGAAGACCGGTGCTCTTCACAGGTGTCAGGGTCCTGAGAGACCTGGGGTCCGGGGAGACAGACCGACGGCCACGCGGGCCCCGGGCCAGGAAGGGCAGTGACGGGCAGCCGCTGGGGCCCAGCGATGTGCAGGCTGTTACCAGGACGCTTGGGTTCTTGTTCTGTGGTTATGTAAGGTGGTGGTTGTGGAAGCTGGGCATATGAACTCTGTCCTATTTTTGCAAATTTTTGGGAGTCTAAAATTATTTCAAAATGAGAAAAGTATTTTGCATTAAACTGGTTGAACTTTCTGTATGCGTGGTTGAGTAAATTCTCATTCTGAGGTGCATCCAGTAGATTTCGAGGCAGGTGATAAGACAAACGGTTTCGGCAAGTTGGGGAGGAAGCGTGCGAGGAGAGGTCGCGGACAGCTTCCTGGCGCAGCCTTTGATTTTCCAGATCTGAGTTGTCAGCCGCATGGTGCGTAGGGTGCAGATGTCCTGTCCATGCCAGAGCACCCAGTCCTCCGGCCTTGCTCACGTAAAGCGCCCGCACACTGGTTGCAGGAAGCCAGCAGCGGTATTCAGAGGCGCCCAAAGACAACTTCAGAACGTTTTCCAAGTGTTCTCACGTGGGAGATAGGCTGGGGAAACCAGGCCTCCACGGTCAGGCCTGGGCCCACAGCCACCTTCCCTGAAGATGAGCCCCTCAGTCTGCTTCCCTCCGGCCCCTGGGGTGGGGCACGCCGGATGTGACACGGCCTCAGCCACCTGAGAGTGTCCAGGGGCGCTCGGGGTGTAGCGCTGGGGTTCCCTCTGCCCAGGGGTCCCACCATCAAGAGCAAGACGGACTCCCCTCCATGAAGCGTCCTGTGCTCACTTAAGTCACCGCAGACCCAGTGGTGTAGACAATACAGATTTATGATCTTACGTCATAAGTAGGCCCACAGGGCTGTGTTTCTTCGGGGCTCTGGCCAGAGTCTGTTTCCTTGTCTTTCCGGCTTCTAGAGGCTCTCACGTTCCTTGGCCCGGGGCCCACCCTCCGGGAGAGCGTCCTCTCTGTCCTCAGCTGTCCCTCCCATCTTCTCCCTGATTCTTTTTTTTTTTTTTTTTTAAAGATTTTATTTATTTGAGACAGAGAGAGCACATGAGAGGGGGGAGGGTCAGAGGGAGAAGCAGGCTCCCCGCCGAGCAGGGAGCCTGATGCGGGACTCGATCCAGGGACTCCAGGATCATGACCTGAGCCGAAGGCAGTCGCTTAACCAACTGAGCCACCCAGGTGCCCTTCTCCCTGATTCTTGACGCTCCTGCTTCCTCACCAGGACCCTCCTGATGACACTGCCCACCCAGATAATCCAGGGTCCCCTGCCAGCCCAAGATCGTTAACCTGACCACCCCCTGGAAAGTCAGATTCACGGGGTCTGGCCAGGGACGCGGGTGTGGACTCTGAGGACCGCACCGCCCCACACCGCAAAGAACCCTAGCAGTGATGTGAGGGGGACATGGAAGCATGGGGCCTGGATGGGCCTTGGGGCCGAGCTGCTGGATGGTGAGTAGCTCACGCATGCCCGTGTCCGGAAGACGTGCTCTCACACGGCTGTGAGGCTTTGCCTCGTTATCTGCAGCAACCCAGTTATGGATCGAATTTTCTCAGGGCTGGGTTTAAAGCCCATATTTTTCTGAAATCTTCGGCACTTGCTTTGCAGCTGCTTCTTGCTGGTGGATGATAGTGAACGGGTATGTACTTGATAAACAGGATCAGGTCAGAGCCAGCCCCTGCACGTATGACGTGACCCTGTTCCTGTCAAGTGTTCGTCTCTAATTTTACGTACACGTGAGAGGTGTCTGGGATCCCGTGCAGTGAACGTTCACGATACATGTCCGAGTGACAGAATCATCTGGATGTATGTGGCTTTTCTCCGTGTATTTTTCTTTATGATTGCATTTTATAACAAGCATGTATCGTTTTTGTTTTTTTTTTTTAAGATTTTATTTATTTATTTGAGAGAGAGAATGAGATAGATCATGAGGGTCAGAGGGAGAAGCAGACTCCCTGCCAAGCAGGGAGCCTGATGCGGGACTCAATCCCAGGACTCCAGGATCATGACCTGAGCCGAAGGCAGTCGCTTAACCAACTGAGCCACCCAGGCGCCCCAGCATGTATCGTTTTTATAGAAACAAATCATTAGCTTAAGAGCTTGTTGTGTTTGGTTATTTTGTATCACCTATGAATTATATGCCTGTGGTTGCAATTTTATGTTGTCCATAAATAGCCCGGTTTATTTTTCCTGGGAAAACCGCATTGATTTTATGTCCAGATACAGTTCTGCAAAGCACGTAGGGCAGCCAGGGGCAGGCCTGGTGCCACTCATGGTGGCTTCATGGGCCCTTTGGGGGAGGAGTGTGGCGGTCTGCTCGGGTGTCCCCTTTGGAGGCCGGGACCCTCGGGGCCTCCTCGAACGAGGGCTGCTTTCTGTCTGCACAGCTCACGTCATGCCCGTCCTTCCTGGGAAAGAATGAGCTATCTGTGCCTGTCATTCTGGCCACCGGGCGTTTGGATTCAGTCTTTCAGTGAGATTATTTATGGGCGAGAAAGCAGAGATTTTATTATTGCAAGAAACATCAAAGAGCTTTCTATCAGGCCACAGAAGTGACTTCGTTGTAGTGAGTAAAATTACCAACTTCCAGTCTTGTGCAGGAATGGAACCAAATTCACAGCGGCCTGTGCACAGAACTTAGCAGAGGGAAGGGGGGGCCCTCCTGGGAAGAAGGGAAGAAGGGTCCAGGCCGGGTGGCCGGTGCCAGTCGGTCTGATGGGGCTCCGTCAGGGCCCTGCTGCTGGTGGCCTAGAAGGACGTTATCCACCAGCGTACTTTCATTAGGGGACATGCCACGTGTTCCCCAGGCGTCCAAGGCCTTAGGAAGCCTGAGACCACTGTTGGGTAGGTTTGCTGGGCACTCAGGAAGGCGGGAGCCCGGGTGGCTTCTGCTGTTGTGTCGTGGTCTTGCTTTAAAATGCTCCTCTGCTGGCCCAAGTGGTGAGCAGGTCCGGGAATGTTCAAGATCGAGATAGGCAGGTCCTTCCTGATGCTGGACCTATGGGATCCAGAGCCGTGAAGGTGGACGGGGCAGTCGCTGCCTCACAGGCCTGCAGATCTGCAAGTGGGTCCAGTTCGTGTCTGCACCGCCCGAGAGCCGTGACGACTTCGCCAGAACTGCAGACTTCAGGACTCTCGTCTCCCTCCCCATCGAGGACCCTCTGGCATCTCCAGTCTCCAGTCGTCTCTTTCTTCTTCCTGGGACAGGGCTGTCTCCCTGGGTCTGCTTGATGACCTTCTCTGTGCCCTGCAGTCAGGCCTGGCCCACTTCTCTGCCTCTCCCTGTGGGCCATGCCCTCTCCTGGGCCTAGAGAGGAGCAGGGGGTGGCTCTGCTCTGTGCAAGGGGCCAGTCTGCAGGCCCCTGGGCAGCACAGGAGTGGGGGGGGGGGCTGTGCGTCCTGAGGTGGGGGGCGTCGCGGGCCAGAGGGAGGCCACCAGGCCCCACTGGGTGGGCACGGAGCTCTGAGGCCAACAGATCATGCTTGGTGCCTGGTCAGCCATCAGGCCTGGCGTAGACCCAGCGGCAGCTCCATCTGCAGAGCGGCTGTCCTGAGACCGACGTGACCCAGGCCAGAGCAGGCTTCTCTGCTCCTGGAGGGACTGGAGTGCATGTCTGTGGCGTGTAGCCACGCCAGCCTGGCCTCCGGCCTCCTGGCTTTGACTGATCCGTCCCCGGGGTGGGCTGGGGGCTGGGGAGCCCTGCCCAGCCACTTCTCAGGAGCCCTGCTGTCATGCTGTAGGCCCTTCCATGCTCGCTTTGTGCGGACCCTTCCCTCCTCCTCCTGGTGGACACCCCTGATTCTTCCAGGCCAGGCTGTGCCCCCTCAGAGGGCAGCGGGCCGGGGAGGGGTCAGAGCAGTTGGGGGTGTGGATGCAGCCCGAGGACGCACGAGCAGCAGGGCAGAGGGTGCCTGTGACCACCAGAACGAGGTGTCTCGAGATAAATGCTCTTGCCTGCTTGGTGCCTTTTTTAAAAGATTTTACTTATTTGAAAGAGAAGAGAGAGTGAGCATGAGCAGGGGGGAAGGGCAGAGGGAGAAGCGGGCTCTCCGCTGAGCAGGAAGCCTGATGCTGGGCTGGTCCCAGGACCCCGGGATCATGACCTGAGCCGAAGGCAGACACTTCACCGACTGGGCCGCCTAGGCGCCCCGTTGTCTGCTTGGTTTCTTATCATTCTCCCCTTTTCTCCATGAACTCAGAAGATAGCCAACAGAATCTCTGGAAAGCTGTGGATTTACTGCTGAGCCCTGGAGGGGAGGGGCTGCAGGGGTGAGAGCGGGAGAGCGCCTTGTTGTTCTCCAGCCTGTCCCCCAATTCCGGCCTGTCTCGGGGTTTGGACCAGCCTCTTGCCCTCAGTCCAGTGAAACCCCAGAGCAGTATGGCCGTTTCAAAGCCTATGCAACGTGGGGTGGGCCTCTGTCCCCTTCCCTGAATCTGGGGTTAGAGGCTGCTGAGCTCTGAGGAAGCCCAAGTGAGTCCCCGTGGGGACCCCACACAGAGAGGTCAGGGGGCAGGAAGAGGGACGCATGCCTGTGGCCCCCCTTGCTACAGCTGCACCTGAACTCCTGGGCCCGCAGAGCCTGGACGTGTCTCGGCCACAGGGCCTGCATCGTGTGCTGGACCGTGAGCCTGAGTAGGCCCGGGGCACTCGAGTGGGGGAAGGAAGTAGGAGAGGAAGTTACTTGGGTGCACGAGGAGCGTGAGGCAGGGGATGTGCTTGCAAAGTTGACCCCAGCACCCTAACAGCTGGGTTCCGGCAGGGTGGGCTTCCCTGGCCGTGACACGGGGGACAAGAGCTTCCAGGGCAGGACTCTGCTTGCCATGTTACAGTTTTAGATTTTAGCAGCTGCCCCACTGAGTAGCGGAGGAGAGCCCTGAGCTGCCTGGGGGACACCCAGCTTCTCTGTACTCCAAGGGGAAACGTTCTCTTGGGCCCTGGGGGTGGAGCAAGGCCCAGGGATGGAAGCTTGGGACTGCAGGTGCGGGATCCAGGAAGCTTGTGGTGGGCAGGCGGTGTTGGAAGGACAGCAGGTCCTGGATGGGTGTGGGGTGGGACTGGGGACACCCCCAGGGGAGCATCTGTCCTCCAGGCATGTCCTGGAGCTGAAGGACAGACCCTTCTGAAGATGTTGGCCTGGTTACCACTTTGGGGCTTTTAGGGTTGGACTGTGGGATCTGGTGGCTATCCCCCCCCCCCTTATTACAAAAGCCCA